ACGTGCGTATATGACATCATTATTCTACGTGGATCTACGCGTTACTCGCGTGTTATAAAAACACGTGGATCTATATATAAACGCGTGGATTTATTACGTCACACAAAATCCCACTATAATTTTCACACGAATCCCACTATAATTTCCCACGAATCCCACTATAACCACTATACATCACTACTCCCAGGAGCAAAGGAAGTGAGAATAATAATTACAGCAGTTTCACGTGATACGCGACCATCTCGATAAAAAAATCTCGCAGGCGATAGTTGTTTTTGACATCAGGCGCGGTCGCCAATTTGACATGTAGTTTCGCTTTTCCAAAAATTCGCGTGGTCAAAATGGCGACTTTTCAGCATATTTCTGATTGTGTTGAATCGGAATCTCGATACACTGAGGAGGGAGATTATATAAGGCAATCGGAATCTCAATATGCTGAAGAAGGAGATGGTGATCAATATTTTGAAACAAGAACCGTGATCTGTCCGGATACAGAGGATACACAGATCATACAAGACCCGGGAGTAAGTTTTCATATGAATAATGCATGCATGATTGCATGTTCACGAATAATAAAAATTAATATAATAAATCATATTTGATCAGGCGATCACTGATGTCCTGACTTATTCGTATCCTGTAGAGAGAAGTGGTATTATTTCTTGAAACGAAAAACGGAAAGGTAAAGGGGGCCGAGTCCACACCATTCGAACTGCCTAGTGGATGGGATTTCAAGACTTTGCAAAGTATGATAACAGATCAAGTTCAGCTTTCTACTGGTAAGGACATTATTATCAGGCAACTTTATTACAAAAAGCACGGACGTTCTAAGGGTATTGTTGCTGTTAATGGTGACATGGATGTTGGGTCAATGGTCCGAGAATACCCCGGATTTCAAACTATATTTATGGCAGTTGACTGGCATTCCAAAGGCAAAGGTAATTTTAAAGATTTACAGTTTACAACCTTTGGTATATTTCACTTTTTAACTAATGACCTTGTTCCTTGTTTTATCTAGGCACAAAGCATGAATAATGTTAGAAATAATGCCATTGTGTCAATTTAATAATGGCAATTGTTGCTTTCAATAAATGCTAATAATAAATTAAACTTTTTTCAGATGATGAACAACAACTCAGACGCTCTCCCAGGATTGCTGAAAAATTACTCCAAATATTTGTGTATAAAGCAACACAAAAAAACAAACAAATCAGAGTGTCTAGTTCAGCTGATGTTCTTCGTGACATCTCAAAGCAGTCCACTGTGCAACAACTTGCAAACAGACTGCGGATAATTGAGGGCGATGCTATCTATGTACCTACAAGTGGCTTGTTTTGGCTAAGAAAAGGCACAAAGCAATGTGTTTCACTGAAAACCGATGATGATTTTATGCTTGCCATAAATGAATATACCAGTAAGAATGGCCAGATTTTGCCGATCAATATTGCTTGTTTCACTGTTGACAAACCAAAGACATCAGGTATTATAATACACGTAAAAATATCTTACAATTCTTATCCAGGAATTGAATGTGTTTCTTCAGTTGTAGCTTTTATATAGCTCATGCCCCAATTGCTTCTAGTTGATGTAAAAATATATTTCATACACTGATACAAATAAGGGTAGGAGTATAAGAAGAGGTGTATAAGCTAGTTTACTGTAGCGCGCTAAATATCAAAGAGGATCATCTGTATTTCTGCGCAAACCATCGTAATATAACATGTGCATATTTGCCTGCTACTCCAAAAAAGTGAAGCAAATAAAAATAAGAGCAATGGGAACCACCACTTATTGATTTGGGACTCTCTATGACATTTTAGATAACACAGGCTGCAAAAGGAACAGGCAGTTGACATTTGGAAATGATGACCTTCTTGATGATGAGGAAGGGTTTGATCAAGACCAACTGATAATGGATGCATATGATATAACTGATAAAACGAAGAAATCAAAGGCAAGTGTGAATGAAGTTTGGAATGATACCCATATAAATCTTGTCAGGTACTTAGAAAAAAAGGGTACCTTTAAAAGATATGGTGTGAGACACTTAAAATTGTGGACTGACTTGATAATGTCTGGTAAGTCCAAAGGTGCTGGTGACGAACCTTCTTGGAAAGATTATGTTAGTGAAATTGGTGTACCACCGAAAGATCGAAATTCAGGTTGCTTTAAAAAACCTGAAGAACAGGATGATAAAGGTGATGTCACCACAAATCAATTTTTGCAAACAATTATATTGCAAAATCAACAAAAGAGCGAAACCTTTCAAACTGCTATGTTGGCAATGATGAATACAAATATGGCAATGTTGCAGGTATGAATGCTATAATTACAAAAAAGTTGTTCTTTGTGGAGAAAAGGTTTATACATTTTATGCCTGAAATTCTCCCTTTGACAATTAAAACTGCAATGTATATAACAAGGAGGAACAAATCTGCATGTTTGTTTACATTTTTCAGGCAGAGCCAATCAGAATCCTAAATATTTAATACTGGAAGAACGTAGTCAAGATTTCTGCATTATATAATCGATTGGCTTACTGAAAATGTAAACAAATATGCTGATTGGTCTAAAATGTAATTCCCTTGTTGCAATGTATGACTTATTAATGAACGTATAGTTGCTAACCCATTATTGCCAGAGCTAGCTTTCTGTTGCCAAGCAAAATCATCTGGCATTTGTCAAGTAAAAACTAAAAAGAGTAAATAGGGCACACTATGGTGCATTGCGGCTTAATTATATGGTTGTTATTATCATTAGCATGAATCAACTGCAGACAAAAATAATTTTGAGTTAACAACCTTTTCATAGGTAAGCAGTAAGCATGGTGAAAGTACATACTCCTCTCCCAATTTCTAATGTTAGCCTTGGTACTTGCTTTAGTCAGTATTTTTATGCACTTGAAATTGAGCAGCTGCCCTGTTTGAATCAACTGCAATACATGCAAACCAAACTAAAATAATTTTGCAACAGGCTCATGTAAACAACACATATTGTTGTACAGGTAATGATAATGCGTATAGTATATATCGTTTTATATGCATTAATTGACAGAGCAAAAAGTTTGTGTATAATGTATATACGTAATATACCTAATCTACACCTATTTTATGTAGTATATCAAGGGATTGAGCTGTGTCTATTTTATATATACACATATGTATTTTAGCATTCAATGACCAGGAGTCTGCCAGTAAGTACAAGTTTACAACCAAACTTTGGTGCAGCATGGTCACCCCAGTCTGACGTCTATCGGACTCCATTGTCAACTTCAAGTTCAAGTCCAAGTTCTACGCCAATCTCAAATTATGATAGTCAGACAAAGCTGCTCACAAAACCTGCACTGAAGCCAATTTATGAGTATAACCTTCAAGATTGTTGTGAATTCCTTCAGTCCATTCAATTAGAAAAATGCATCCCCAACTTTAAACAAAACAACATGGATGGTATCTTGTTATCTTGTCTTGTCCGTAAACAAATTGGAAATCAGATTCTAAGTAATATCGGAATAACAGATCCAACTACAATAGATGTTCTTGTAAAGGCAACAAAAAAATTGGTTGATAACAGCTGTTAACCTTTTTTATGGAATAATATGGACATGTTGTGTTTAATATACTGTGAGTACAGTACAGATATATGTTATATATATAGCATATAAAACTGTTGTGTTATACTTATTTAAGAAGAGTACTGGGTGTCCTGCAAGAAAGTGATCTGTTTAATTAATGTCATGCAGTGTAAAAAAGCATAAAAGCTATTGAGCTAGTATACATTGAAATGTATGTTGCAATTGAAAATGAATGAAAACCTTCAGATTCTTCGATCGACCTTGATATTTAGAATTTCAGATATAAAAAAATCTCTCTGGCATATGTAAGGGTTACTTTAAATAATGCTATTAGAGACCCAAATAGATATGATTCTTTTAGGGTCACCCAGTATTTACCGGCAAACTAAGGCTATACATTAACTTTATTGAAAAGCATTTGGGTTTTTTTTTCATGAAGCAAAATACCCACAATGCTCAAAGAATCCAACAGAACTTCTAGGTTGTATCTAAAAAAATTCAAATTTTAACATTAATTTTATATTCATAAACAGTTCTGTTATTGGTAATTATATGGTACATGGATATGTATATATGATACAAAGTTGAAAAAAAATATTTCTACTTGATGGTAAAGCACACCTGACACCTTGATTGATTTCTTATAGTTATGGTAATTATTTAATTATGCCATAGATTTACAATTTGAAGACATAAAGGGTTGTACTATAAGTGTCGATCAGAGAGCTAGCTCTTAATGGAATAGTAAATTCAATTTATTATAAGATTTTCTGGCAAACAAATTTGCTTATCAAAGTTGTTAGCAAGCAACTTTTCAAGTTCACACAGTAACATCCTAACACTGCCCCTTAAATTCATTATAGCTGGTATAATCAGGTAACCTAGCTGGCCTACTTTAATATTTGCTTTAATATTTGCTAACACCTAGGGTGTTGCCAGTAAAAAAATTAAGAGCTTATTTACTAAGTGAGTATAACACCCGAGCTGAATTGTGAAGGGGACACCTCAATGATGTTTTAAAAGTTTTCTCATACATGCAGTAGTGCCCTTAAGTTAGCCTACTAACACCATACAATCTGAGTTGAAGCAAATGTATTATTGCACGCCATAAATTGTCTAATTATGCACACCTTGTATATCCTATTACAAAGGCTTTTTATTCATAAATCAATACCAAATAAATTTTACCTGAAACAAAGCAGTCTCAAAGCAACGAATAGCGTTTATTTCACAGCAACCCCTATTCCTCTTGAGCCATGCCTTGGCAGCTGAGAAAGCTTCCTCAATAGGATTCATATCAGGTGAGTATGGTCTGTCAAGATATAGAAATAATAGAAAATAAGGTCAATCAGGAATACTGTAAGATACAAGGTAGTAATAGTCAAGGACAAGGAGTGAATCTTGTGCTTTCATGAATTAAATATCATACTTACGGCAAAAACATAACGATTCCTCCTTTTTCCCTTATTTGGTTGAACACTCTCTCAGAAAAATGAATGTTACAATTATCCATAATTATAATGGAACATTTTTCATGTTTTGCAAATGAGCCAACTTTTGGAATGACAAAGTTTACCATAGCAAATTCAAACAACTCTTGAGTGTATGCACCAACTATTGTATGAGCAGCCTCGATACCAGTAATAGATAAGGCTGCAAGCACACTGAATCTGGTACCACGGGTAAAATTATCCCTTTTTGAACAACGTGTACCTTTCAAATTGTGACCGTACTTTCTCTACATTGAACAAATTTAAATATGGAATAATTACAAGAATACTATAAAAATGAGCACGTATACCGTTACAGCATGCAACATTTGGGTATAATTAAGGTATGGTAATTTGCATAATTATTTGCACATTCATACTCCAAGGCTACCTTATAATTAGCAATTAGATTATTAGCAATTAGCAATTACTTAGCTACAATAATTAAGTCAGCCTATATATTATATATATTATATATATTACAGTTAAGTAAAGTATACAAGAAGAAAGAGTGCTCAATATCAAACTATATATTCAAAATTTTGTAATACTTCATAGATATTATATATTATATTAAGCAAGAAAAAATGCATACCACAAATGTTCTGTCATCCTTTGAGGATTCATCAATGAAGAGGAACTGGTGACGACTGAACATTGCAATGGCTCGTCTAAATGTTGCTCTCCTTACATCGTCACGTTGTTTTGCTATTATCGACAACTGTTGAACAGAATAGGGAATGTTGATGCAGTAACACAACTTTTCAAATTTTTCAAATGAACTTGTACCTTTTGTAATGACATACCCATCCTTCTAAGGTATTCATGTAATGTGCTTGTAGCTATTGTGACTCCAGTAAGATATTTTACCCACTGCTGTAACTCATCAAAATAAATCTCTGGATATTGTTCAATAATATTCCTTACAATGTTGATGTGCTGAGCTACAGGAATGATGGAAAATATATAAAACAAGCTAGAATCTTCATATGCATGGCTAGGTATATACATGCATATAATAAAGTATATATGATATTTATAGTGAAATAAAATATAACATAATATAATCAGTAAAATATAAGAAAGTAGTAAAGTAAAGAAAGTAAAGCGGACTGCATTATGCCATTTATATATAGGGGTAATTATAGGGGTTACATTCGTAGCTCGCATGTGAAACTGAAAGGTATGTGTGAGCATATAGATTATAGAGCGTTTTAACCGTCTTACCGTTTAACAAAGGTTGCTTTCCAGGACGCCGACCATATTCAATTGATTTATTATCTCTATAAATCCTTTTTATTTTTTTAACGAAAGTTGTCCCGACACAAAGTGAGACAGCGATTCTTTGTGTGGTATATCCCTTTCTATGAAGCATCAAAACTCTCCACCTCAGTTCTGTCGGATACGCTTTGGTCATCACTTTGGATGTGAACTGTCGTGTTTGTTCGCTGCGATTTATTCAAATTGTTATGTAAAAATTGTAAAATTAGTACTAACTAATTTAGTATTGTTTACATTTTGACGAATTGGCGACCGCGCCTGAATGTCAAAAACAACTATCGCCTGCGAGATTTTTTTAGTCAGATGGTCGCGTATCACGTGAAACTGCTGTAATATTTCAATTACTAACATCGAATATTTTGTTTTATAAGATTTTTGAATGCAAATATTGAGTTAGCTAGCTTGGCTTCAGACGGAAGATTGCTCCAAAGGCTGGCGGCACTATACTTAAAACTTTTTCTAAGAAACTCTCTTTTTGGTTTTGGAAGAGCTAAATCAGATCGATAATTTCTGAGGTTGAAGCTGCTTTGTATGGTATTCCTACTTATGAATGAGGTTTTCAAAACCGGAGCGACAGTATTGTTCAGTATTTTATAAAGGAGTATTGCCTTGGATAAGAGCCTTCTAGTTTCCAGATTTTCCCAAATCCCAGACTAAAACTGGCGCCAGCAACAATTCTAGCAGCGCGATTTTGTAGTTTCTGTAAATCGTCACTAAGTGTTTTATTACAAACTCCCCAAAGGGGAGAGCTGTAATCAAAGTAAGGCTATATCAAAGCGTTGCAAATGGGAATCAGAATATTAACAGGAACATAGTGTTTGGTTCGCTTCGATGTGTTCATCCCACTTTATTTTCAATGTGTTTGCTTTGATGTGTTAATCCCAGTTCGCTTCGATGTGTTCATCTTAAATCATTTCGATGTGTTCATCCCACTTCATTTTTTCATCAAGTTTGACTCCCAAGCACAATATTGAGTGTACTCTAGGAATCAGTTGATCAGCAATCATGACGGGAGGCTCATTAATAATTTTAGCAAGGTTATGATTAGATAAAAAATTTGCATATATAGAGATTTCCATAGTTGCCAACAAGCGTTAGGATTTTCATACTGTGCCACATTTTCCCAGGGGATCTGTGATAGATCATTGAGAAAGCCCGAGGCACGTTTATATAAACGTGTCAGTATTAAAATCTTTAGTTTTTTGGGGGTAAAAGGTAAATTTTTGTTTGTTTAATTAAGTTAACCTTTGTTTCAACTTAAACAAAATTTCTCGCTAATTTATCGATCTGGATGCTATTGTACTCATAGTCTCAGCTAACTTGTTTTTATTGATGTTTGAATAAAACCAGTTTGTTCAGCTTCTTTCTAACTTACAATCTAACTTTGCAGTAGCATTTTGCAATTGCCTTTATCAATGTGAAAGTATGGTTCTCGTTTACAGGTGTATCTAGCATGTGACTGTCAAGCTTTGAAAATGTTTTGGATGCATGTATTTATGCTTCCCAAAACAGCTGTAGCAACAGCATCAGGTACACCTTTGCAATGTGGAAGATTCTCATTGTTTGTAATAAGTAATGTTTGAAAGCATTTCTCACTTTCTTCGCAATCTGTAAGTACACTTTGAGTTGGTTTAAATAAAGACCCTTTCACTTTGGGAAAGCTTCTTTCTGTAGTATGACCTCTAGAACCAATAGCTTGACTGCAAGGCATACATGAAATTTTCTTTCTGACCAATAGGGCAATATAGCCTCCAAAATAAGAAATAGCAGCTTTCTTAAACTCTGACAAGAGGGCAATGTTAGGTGCATCACAGTAGTCATGGTCATGGATTACTGCTTCTCTCTCTCTGCTAAATCATACTTTTTGAATAATGTGAAGGATTTCAGTTGGATCTCGTTTTTCACAATTTCCTTTGACACTTTAAATACTGCTCCTCATCAGCAGATGCCTATATGCGATGTAAAATGTTGGTCATTTGGGTTGTTGTTGAAGCCTTCTGGTGATCTTATTGCACCAAAAAACAGTTCCAATTGGTCTTGGCTAAAAATTTATTCATCAGCAAGTATTTCATTCGAGCTTTTGATCGTTCAACCAGATCATGAAACAAATCCTTGTTGGCCTTGACTGCTATAAGAAAGGCAACGAAACCAGTCTTGTTGTATGTGTTAATTGTCCATCAGCACTCTTCAGACCAAGGATGTAATTGCATGCATTATCTAGGTAAGGATCCCGAACACTTTTATTTGCAACCAGCAACAGTGCTTTGTAGCTTCTTGTAGAAATGACAGTTATGCATGTTTAAAAATACAAATATTTGTCTCGACCGATCCAGAGCTTAGTACACTGGCGCATGCGCATAACGTGGAAGACCGTCCATGGCGTGAGGTCCATTCCGTAATGGCGGACAGCTTTGATTTCGCCTTTGCACATCCTGGGTATAAATATCCGAGCGGAATTAGTACCCTCGCACGGTGCTCCGCACCGGCTCGGGATAAATGCCAAATATTTTTTTTACAAATGTTATTGGGGAAGTTCTAAAGCTTAATGGGTTAAACATTCCAAACAATTACACAATGCATTACTCCCATCCCCACATTTATACATGTCAATAGCTCTAACTAATATTTTAATTCAATAGCCTAGCCCGATGCATAGTTCCCCTATGCAAATATTTTTGTGTTCATTGATTGTGAAAACAATAAATTTCTAAAGAAGCACTTGAATAATGATATAAATATTTATACTTTGTCTTTGAATTTGTATTGTGGTATACGCTACTGTTTTAATTTGTTTGATAACATAAAATTCGCCTTTCATCGGCCGTAATGATTATAAGTTTAGAAATCTATTACAACTCAGTGTCAGTGAGCAAACATTTCATTTCATATAAAAATTCATAATTACATGACTGAAATTGGTGTTCTGTCTCCAATATTTTTTGCTCTGTATCAGCATAAAGTTTCACTAACATTTGAATTTAATCCTAAAACTTTATTAAGTTACTGGTGTGGAAAAAAAACAGCGTTAAACAACTAAAACTGTAAAATATTTACCTTGATGTCTTTTGTTCTTATCTCCGCCATCTTGAAAATTCAGGACGCCTTCTCAACATATACTGCGAGCACAATACTGCAACGCATGCATATTACGGGAAACTCACAGTGCTGTCGTCCAAAAATGTACAATCGTAAACTCCCTAATAGTGAACAGACAACTTCCTGTTTCTTCTGGGAAGCATCATTCCCTTTAGCTTTAAAGCATCAAAAGCTGGCTCAGTAAATCCAGGGTCTGCAAGGTTTTTGTGTACCATTTCCTCATCTGCGTTTCATGTGGCAGTGCTAGTTTCAAGGTTTTACATACAAATTTGTAGGCCTTGAATGAGTAAAACTGAAGAGTCATTGCAAATGCCTTTAATTCAGGAGAATATTTCGAGCCTTTTCCTGAGCCTGCCTTCCTTCTTTTGAATAACTCCAATGGAACCCCAGAGATTGTTTTGTGGAGCATTTCTTCACAACTTTGAGAAATCATGTTTTTTTCTTTCAGCGCCTTGACAAATGATTTGAGCGACTTTACCTTGGTCAAGTAGCAAATATTTACTCTTACAAGTGGAATTGTTCGATTTGTCTGGCGTCATAGACATGGTAAATTAAAAAACTACAGTAATCAATTAAGTGCATGAACTTTTTAAAAACAACTGCATCTTTTCTTGGTAGAACACTGTTTTGTGACGTTCTGTCTATGCATTTTTCAAGAAAATGATTGGAACATATTCTCGAAGAACTGCTAGGTACCCAGTCCTCTCAATGCATGTTAGCTATCCATCGTTTTTTTCTTTCGGGATCAGATGGAAATCTATTATTTGTAGTTAAAAGAAGATATGCTAGGGTTGTTTATTAATTCATAGAGTTTTTAATACTTTGACTGGAAAATTATTGTCAATGTATTTAAACTCTACAATTTTCACGTTTTACTGGTCAAAAACGAAAAAATGTTTTTGTGAACAACTTGCAACAACTTGCATTTCTCTTATACCCATATCTTTTCATTGTATGAGGCAAGTAAGCTTTAGAAACGTATTATTCTACAATTAGTAACAATTTTTACAATTAAAATTTATTTTTTATATAAACAGCAATTAGGAATAAATTGTAACAAAAAAGTTATTTTAAAAAAAGTTATTTTAAAAAAGTTATTTTAAAACAAGTGATTTAAAAAAAGTTCATTGATCTCTGCTTCATCAGGTACCGAGTAAAACATTATACAAAACAATTGCAGCATGCAAGTACACTAGAATTATACTCCCAAGTGAAATGTTCTTGGGTACTGCCTTTTTACCGCAGATTCTTTGTCATCTGTTCCATCGCTGTCTCTTTGGTTTTTTGGAACTCTTTTTAATTTCTTTCTTTGCTTACTGCAGCCAAAAACGCAACATTCTGTACCGGACTTGCCCCTTTTTGTTAAACACAAAAACTTTGTCACACAAGAATGTGGAAAATTGATTTTGGCAGGCTTTTGTTATTAACCAATG